GCACACAGCCCACAGGGAGCACACAGCCCACAGGGAGCACAGAGCCCACAAGAGGCACACAGCCCACAGGGAGCACACAGCCCACAGGGAGCACACAGCCCACAGGGAGCACAGAGCACACAGGGAGCACAGAGCCCACAAGAGGCACACAGCCCACAGGGAGCACACAGCCCACAGGGAGCACACAGCACACAGGGGGCACAGAGCACACAGGGGGCACAGAGCACACAGGGGGCACAGAGCACACAGAGCACACAGGGGGCACAGAGCACACAGGGGGCACAGAGCACAGGCACTGCGGCCTCACCCAGATGTCCTGCTTCTCGCTGATGGGGAAGTTCGAGTACAGGTCCACGATCTCAGGCGTCCTGTACATGGGCGTTGTGTTCCTGGTGACCTGAAGAACAGATGCACTTTTCACAGGGAAGTTGTTTGGTGTCGGTGCCCACGGCCTCCCTGCAGGAAGCGCACGTCCACCCCAGGGCCCAGAAAGCCTAGCCCGGCTCCTCCCCTCCCTCCTCTCACCCCCCTGCCAGCCCCTGCCTCACAGCCCAGCTCTTGCTGGAGTGGCCACACCAGGCACACACGGTGGGATGCCAGCTGTGTGTCCAGGAGACACGTCTCAGCGGACAGGCACTCCCTTCCAAAGCGGACGGGCACACCCTTCCGGGTCCGGGAGGTGGGGCACCTGCAGCCCGAGGGGAAGGCTGTTCTCAAAGCCGCCTCCTACGCGTCCGCGTGGACAGAGACCCTGTCCCGGGAGAGAGCTGAACTGAATTTACGGACGAGTCAGGCTATCATGTGAGAAACCAGACCCAGGTAGACAGGGTGGGCCCTGTGGCAGAGACTGGAGACACCGCATGGGGGAGGCCAGCGTGCCCGTGCACGGCAGACACACACACACCAACCCCGGCCAGAGATGCCGCCGGAACATGGAACAGGCTGTGACCCCGGCGAGACAGTGAGGCTAACCCACGGTTCTCCCAGGAAGGTCTGCTTCAGGAGGAGGAGGCCTGGGCGGGACCAGCGCCCAGGAGACACCCAGGGCCAACACAATGCCAAGTCCAGGTGCATAAAGGATGCTGAGCCGGGAGGGAGGCGGGCAGAGGGCACTGCGACCGGACGTGGCCGCAGAGCCTCCACACAGAAGTCACCAAGCTGCAGGCCCATGACCCACGTGTGTACACGTGTTCCCTGCACTAGACGGCGTGCTATGCAGCCGTGTGAGGCACTGACCCCCAGCCCAACGCGACGCTCCTACAGCACGCGCAATGCTGAGTGCCCTCACCTCCTCCTCCACCAGGGCCCGCCGCTGGGCGCTCCAGCTGTAGTCAGGGGCGTGTGAGACGGTCGTGGCGCTGCCAAAGTCGCACAGCTTAATGGTCCCCTGGTTACTCAGCAACAAGTTTTCAACCTGAAAAATTCCAGAGACAGTCCTTATAGATTTGGGTGCAGACAGCCAGCTGGCCCTGAGGGGAAAACACAGCACCCCCACTTTTTTTGGTCAAAATCGGTGATGTCCTTAGAAGCAGGTAATTCGGTATAAACTCAGCCGTAAATCTAACGATATATGGCATCAATGCCATGGGATACACAACGAAAGCCTTTAGAAAAAGACTAAATCAACACAGTCTAAAAACCATCCTATATAATAAAAGCCCAGCGCCCGAACGGCAGAACGACCAGAACGACCGGTCAACCAGTTGCTATAACATGCAATGACCACCAGTGGGCAGATGCTCAAACAGGAGCTGCTCCCTGGTGGTCAGTGCGCTACCACAGCGGCTGTTCCCGCTGCAAACCCTTGAGCAGACGGGCAGGAACCCGGCTGCGGTCATCGCCTCCTCGCCCCAGGCTCCTCCTCCGAGTGCTCGCAGGCTGGGCTAAGCCACTGCCGCCAGGCTCACAGAACGCTGGAGGCTGGGAGGGGGGTTTGTGGCCGCCGCAGGACTGAGGCCTACTCCACCGCCTTTCAGTGCTATTGTCCCTGGGCCTGGCCCCGACCGGGTCTCCTGGAGAGGCAAATGCTCCAGCTCCACGGAAGACGCCAGACCAGAGAGCAGCCACTTAGAGGGCAGGTCCACAGCTGCTCGGCTAACCAGGATGAGTGGCGCTCCCACAGCGGGTCGATCCCTGCAGGCCATGCCCCCACCAGTGCACGAATCCCGTGCACCAGGCCTCTAGTCCTATATGATACCCTATATAATAAAAGCCTAATATGCAAATTGTCCCCTTGACTGGGAGTTTGACCGCTCGCTATGACGTGCACTGACCACAAGGGGGTGGTGCAGAACATGGCGGGCGTCGGTGATGCAGCGCTGGCAGTGGGCGACAGTGGAGGCACTGCTGGCCCCAATGAGAGCAGGACCGCAGTGGGATGGTGGAGCAGGTGAGCGGGCAGCGCCAGGCCAAGGTGGGTGCGAGCAGGGCCCGATCACTCAGGCGGAGGGGGGCGCACGGGGATCCAGGGGCCCAGGTGCTGCCCAGGGCCCAGAGGTCAGCTGGGACCTGCCCTTTCACGCCAGACGCTCACGCTTCAGTCGCTGGCCAGGTCGAGGGACCGCACCCATGCACGATTTCGTGCACCAGGCCACTAGGCAAATAGATCAAGAAGCTGTCAAGGAGTCCAGCCAGAAACTGTCACTTGAGATGCACTTTTAAAATCCAACATAAACAGGACTAACAGCAGAGACAGATCGGTCCCAGCCCCTCGAGGGTATGTCCTGGCCAAGGCCCACCGCTGAGGACGGCTTTTACAATCTGAGTGCTGGGAAAAGTAAACAATTCTTCACCACCCAGGGCCGCGGGGGCAGCGGGACCTGCAGAGCAGGCACGTTTCCAGTCGGCCCTTCCCAGAGAAGCCTGTCGACCTGCTCGGGGACGGCCAAGGCAATCCCATGGGTGGAGCCGACAAACGGATTAAAACGTGTGTAAGGAGACACAGAGCCAAGAAGATCCCGAGGCAGATGGGAGCCTGGCTGCAGCTCCGAGCGGAGGGCGCCGACCGGGACAGCGGGACAGGCCAGGGAAGAGAGGCCCTGCCTCTAAACACAAGGGCAGCCACAGGCCTCAGGTCAACGCTCGGGAAGGAGCACGCTGAGCCGGGCAGCTGACCAGCCACTGTGAGCAGCACCTGAGCAGACACCGCCCGCTGAGAGCAAGCACGCCAAACCCCACACGTTCCCACACACGGCTTCTGCGGATGAGACAGAAACACAGCTCAGCAGGAACACAGGCAAACACTGCTCCAGGGATGTCCCCAGAGGAAATCCAACGCCAACAAACCTAGAAACGGTCAACTCTGTCCACAGAAGGGAAATGCCACGGAAGCCACACGGTCTGCTGCCAACACCAAGAGCCCCAAGTGCCAGGCTCAGAGGTCACACGCCCGGGAAGCAGCGACCCCACAGCGCACACTCTGCCAACTGTGGACCCCTGAGATGGACGAGCCCCAAAACCACAGCGCTGAGCAAAACGCCGCACAGAGGACGCACTCCGGAGCCACGTGCAGGATAAACTCAGCCGTAAGTCAAAAGATAAATGGAGGCTGGGACTCCACACGGGGTCTGGGACTCCATGGACAGGCCCTCCCTGCTTCACGGAGGCGCTTCGGGGAAACCCGCTCGCTGTGAAGCGGCTCCTAGCGGCCTCTGTGACTCTCGGCAGAGCCTGGCCGGCCTCACTGGCAGAAGCCGGACCTCCTAGCCGGGGCGCGGCGGGCGTGTGAGTGGGAGGCAGCACCTTGAGGTCCCGGTGGATGATGGGCGGCTTCTGCCGGTGCATGTGCTGCACGGCCCTGCAGGTCTGGTAGAAAATCTTCAGGACGGTGTCGCACGACAGAGGCCCTTTGGTCTCGCTTTTCTTCAGAAACTCCACCAGCTGCCCTGGAAGAGACAGGAGACATTCATCCCCACAAGTCGGGGGCGGGGCCGCAGGACAGGGCAGGGGGCGGCACCACCTGGCGCTGGCTTTACCAGCCGGCATGGGACACCTGTGGCCATGGTGCGGGCAGCACAGGCTCCCACACGGAGCCAGGGGGACGGCAGGGCCCAGAGAAACCACAACATGCCATCTCCTCGTCTTGCTCCACTTCCCTAAATGACGGCCGTCTGCCCAGGGGCGTGGCCTCTCCAACACACACTCCACACTAAGTGCAGCCTGCACACGGGACCAGGTGGTGACAGCACAGGGAGCCCCATCCTCCCGTCGCCAGGGACACGTGTTCACACCTCAGTGCCCGTGCTGCCCTGGTCCCCAGCCCGTCCCTGATCCAGGCCCGAGGCCACCTCAGTGACGGAGGCACAGCCAGCGTGGCTACCAGGGCTCCAGATCCATGGTGGCCCTCAGCCACGCTGCCCTGCCTCCTGGGGTCAGACACCGTCCCTCCCCCCAGGAAGCCAGCTCTGCCAGCCTGCCACACGGGTCCCCCCTCCAGCTCGTTTCCCCCAACGCTGGGCGAGTCGCTGAACCCGCGCCTGCACACAACAGCGCCCAGACACCACGCTCACCTGGCGAGAGAACCACCTGCCGAGAGGGGCGAGGGCGTGAGGCCCCAGCCTGACAAGGCCCAGCGCAGAGCCACGCAGAAGCCGCCTGAGCTCCCACACGAGGAGCCGGACACAGACACCACGGCACTCACAGCCGGAAACAGGGGCCCCGACGGAGACCAGCGTGGCCTCATCCACGCCGCCCAAAGTGTCAGAGCAGGCCACTGAACCCAACCCAACAAGCCCCCTGTGAATGCCAGCCACAGGGAGGCCAGGACCCGGGAGAGACACGCAGACTCTGTGGACGAGGCAAGGAGCGCGTCCGCAGATACTGGCTAAGGGCCTGAGTTCGGATCTGCTGACCCTGGGCCTTAGGGAGCAGGCGAGCCTGTGGGTGCAACACGGCGCTGAGCACAGCACACTTTTCAGAAGGAAGAGTGTGTCTACGGAGCCCCGCTTCTCAACACACCTCACGGCGCTTCTCCCACGAGCACACGTCCTCTTCACTAAAACCAGCAGTGACCGTGAGCACCTGCCACCTGGAAGACCCGAGTGTGGGCGGCACCTCCCAGCCAGCCCGGCGAGACAACGGGAAGCAGGGCCCAGACACGGAGAGCACAGCCCTCACTCTCCCATCCGGCTCCCAACTCCACTCCCCAGGGAGGGCCCGGCTTCCCCGAGCCTATAAAGCCGTCGGCACCTGTGTCAGCCTGCTGCTCCCCTCCCCATCCCCTAACGCCACCACCACCCGCTCCAGGGCTGCGCTGGCTGCTCAGGGCTCAGCACCATCTCCTCCTCCTCCTGCAGAGGTGCCTGTGCCCACTGCCCCCTCTCCTCCGGAACAGCCCCGCTCGTGGTGGCTGGGACCCCGGGGAGGGCCATCTGTGGGCGCAGCATGTGTCCCTCCCAGGGAGACGCCTGCCTCAGTGTCCCCTGCTGCTGCTCCCTGGCCTTGTGGCGGCAGGGCCCTGGCCTCCTCCCACACACGCTGCCCACGGACAGTGAGGGCAGCACCGTGCCCCAGGACCGATGGCCCGCCCGGCTGCCAGCCTCTGGCCCACTGGGCCTCGCATGTCCTGTGCCCACTCCTTTCCCCCTAAGTTACACCGATACCAGCTGAGCCCGTAGGCTGCAGGAGGGCGGACCCCTGGCCCTCCATGGGCAGCGCGGGCAGACTGAGCCCTACTGCCTCCTCCTCGGTCATGTCCATGACCCCCCTGGAACTCTGCAGAAGGCACTGGGCCCCCCCCACTTCTGTCGGGGACTAAGAGCCTTTCCTGTCCTCCGGGAAGGGCCTCCCTCCACCGGGACCTGCGTACGCCCGCAGGGAGCTCGTTACCTCTGCAGAGCTCCGTGAGCAGCAGGAACTCGGCCTGCCCCGTGTCCGACTCCTCTTTCCCTATCGACGCTGCAGAGCAAAACTGGACAATGTTGGGGTGGCCAGAAAGCTTTTTCTGCGGGTGTCTTGTTAAAGGAGAACGCGTAAGTCTGCACACGGAACACATGCGCGATGGGCAGAAGTAGGCTTACAGCTGTGAGCACGAGGACTTACTCGTGTTATTATTCACTGTTGTGTTATTTCCCACACAACTGTGAACCTACTTTTGCCCTCCCCTGTATAAACCATGACGCGGAACGACATGATCTTAGACCCCAGCGCATCAGAGCGGAAAGGTGAGGGCGAGCAGAGGGACAGGGCGGGGGGAGGGGAGCGAAGTGTGGACGGAACCACACACACCTGACCACAGCCAGGCAGGCCAGCGGGAGAGGGCGCGGCATGAGGTCATCCACCCGAAACTCAGGGAGGCAAGCACCCTCGGGCTCAGCGGCCAGCGTGCTCCCATGGACAGAGCTTCAGGAGAGAAAAGAACAGATTCTGGCAGCAAAAGGGCAGCGCCAGCGGGTGGAGGCCAAGAAGAAATGCCAGCCGTCAACCATTTGTTGGTTGATGCTCTGCCCAGGGTGAAGGGATGGCCGGGTGCGATGGCCGCAGGTTGAAGGGCTGCCCACCCCAGGCACAGAGACCTCTGGGGCAGGACCCACATCTCCACTCCCAGGACCATGGAATCCCTTACAGCTGCCCTGGGAGTGAAGAACAAGGAAATAGCTCCTTTTCGCTAGAAACAGTCCACAGATAAGCCAGGAAAAGCGAAGCCCACTGTTAGTGCATCAACGAGAACGCGGCAGCGGCGCCCAGGAAAGGATACCAAGAAGCACACCTCCTGGATGATGGCTCGGCTCCTCTCCTCCTCGTTGGACAGCAGTCTCTGCATCGGGAGGGAACACAGACAAGGTTAGTCCGCGCAGCAGAACAAATCAATGCACCAACACCTGACCTACGTAGAAACTGGCAGCGTAGAGGTCCCTGGAAATGGCCCTCTGCAGCCCAAGGACACAAGAGAACCACACAGAGGAGCCTCTTCTGCAAACAGGCTGCAGTAAAATAGGATGAAAAAGGAGACGCGGCAGAAACGAGAGTCCTCGCCCTCGTCTCCAAATCACGTGGGCCCCTTACAGCTTAGCCGCACGCCCAGGACGGCCACGCCACTCCACTCCGCAGCCCAGGCTGGACACCAGCCCCCCGGATGAAACCAGACAGCTCTGCCCACAGTCCCACCGTGAGCCTGCTCCGGGACATGCGAGCGTGGCCTGCACGCGTGGTCCACCCGAGTGGCTGTGCCGCTCCCGCCCTCTGCGGAGTCTCGCCCCCGGGCCACCAGCTGGGACCGCAGCCATAGCGTCCACTGAAAGTGCTGATGGCTCCTCGCCATCAGAGGAAACTAACAGGACGAGAGAGGGAACGCACAAAGAAACACACCAATCGGGAACCCCTCTCAACATGTCACTTTGAGATTTCCTTAAAAGTAACCGAGACCCACGCAGAACGTGCGTCCACCTTACCTTCAGCGCATACTCTCTGCCACTTCCCAGATCCTGGGCCTCATATACGAACGCAAACCCTCCTGAAATCAGGAAAATAAACACATCAGTCCACGCTGGGATTTATTCAACATTTAGATGTCTTGACTAAGTCAACACAAACTGCACTTGTGGATAGCAGTACGTTTTCTGCAAAAATAATGGCTCCAATTTACACGCAAAATTCAATAACAAAAGTTTTAAAAAGATACTTCCTCAAATACGCACAGGTGGTGTGAGCAAGCTCAGGAAAACAGGTCCAACATCCCTGCCCACGAGGGACCTCTCCCAGGACCCATGGAGGCTCTCCCACACTGTGGGCTGGCCCAGCAGTCCCCCCCCCCCTTTTGCAATTTAAATGGAAACATAGTTCACATTGAAAAGACTAGAAGGCTATCTAGCTCCACGACTCTGCCCAAAACCCGTTTCGTGCTACAGTTGCAAATTCCAAAAAGCGATGAAAACCCATATTTTCTTCCTAGGTCATTTGGCAGCAAACTATGACCTATTGTAAATGTACCGGTATCTGGGGCAACCCCTGGCATGAACGGACGTGGAGCCGTTTAAAGCTCACCCCACAGTGACGATGCCTCCCGGCTTAGTTACCGAGGCGTCGATGCGCCTAATTACGGAGTGCCTCCAGAGCTGGGGGCACAGGCTGGCGCGCACGGGACGTGTCATCGTTCTAACACCCGAGGAGCTCGGACCTGCTCTCTGGCCCAGGGTCTGGGGCTTGGGCCTTCCCCGTATTTATACAAATCAGTCTGAGTGTCCACAGCCCGGGTTCCGAGGGAGCCGTTTTACGTGGAAGACTTCACACTGATTTCACCCGGTTCATTTCCAAGAGGCTTCCCGAGCTTTAGAGCTGTGAGCCGACAGCTCCTGGCCGCACGGGTTACTTTTACCTCCTGGCTCGCCTACAGGGCACAGGGAAGGGGCTGGCACATTTCCTCGTTCTTCTTCCTGGGCGCTGAGCGGAGGCACAGCTGCCTTCTCTCCCTGACCCACTTCCCACCTGCGATCACCCTCCCAGCCCCTGGCCGGACAGTCCCATTCCCGCCCCTCCCCCACTGCGTGCCCCAGGCTCCCCCTGCTGTCCTCCCATCATTGGGGCGCCTGTCTTATTTTAAGGCAGAAGCCGCCTCCTGTCCGCCAGGAGTTTCTTAAGGAAACAAGGTAACTGCCGGGCACTTTCAGGACAAATGAGGTGGCCCGGGGAGGCGTCCGCACAGGGCTGGCCCCAGCTCTGAAAGGGGCAGAGCCCGCGGTTCTTCCCGATAAATCACACCCACATCGGTTTCTGAAACAAACTGGAGAAAAGTAGGTGCTGCTGCGGCCTTAAGAACAAGGACCTCAGGACCCAGAGAGGCCGTGTGGCCGCGGGGACGGCCCTCCTCCTCCTGCGAGTCCACGTGCAACGCGGGGGGTCAGCGGGTTGCAGCCGTGCCAGGCCCGGAGCGGAAGCAGCAGGATCAGCAGGATGAGGAAGGCGGCCGCCCCGCGGCACCGGGCACAGAGTGGAGGGCCTCCCAGCACCGGGCGACTTCCGTGTGAGGAAGGGGGAGGCATCGGGAGGCGAGGACCAGCTCGCAGGACCTAGCCCACACGAAGGGCCCCCAGACTGGCCAGGGGTACGGACGGACCGGCGGTCAGAGCAGGAGCAGCACAGGCGCCCACGGCCTGCCCTCG